ACAACCTGCAGAAGTCACTTCTCTCCTTCTACATGTGTATTCAGACTTGGCAACAAGTGCCTTTAACCACCAAGCCATCTTGCTGGCCCCCAATCACATTTTTAACTGCTGATGGTTTATTCTAACTTTTATTAATACCAGGAGATGAACTTAGAAAATTCCAGTGTTTTTGAAAAAGCTTTTGTCTACTGAAAAAAGGTTGAAAAACCATGAAGGACAGTATGAAATGTAACTGAATAGTGATGACCTCCATTATTTATGGTGTCCACATGACTGTTAAAAGAATAAGCAGATTTTTCCAAAGACCTATTTACAGTAAGAACTATCTGTAGATGCTGCTTGCTTGTAAGTTGCTCTGTTAAAGATTTGCTAATGAACTATGAGACCAATTAAATTTATCTAAAACCTAAGAATCCTGAGTCTGTAAAAGTTCTAATGCAGTGTGTTCTGTGTCAGGTACAACATGGACAACAAGTACAACAGTGACTGAGATAGCTTTTACGGAATAATGGCATTTCTTTGTGATGAGCAGATTCAGATTGACATTCAAGACATAACACTCAGCTTAAAACCAAACAGCATTTGCTTTTATGTTTCCCAAATAAAAATCTACTTTAGTTATTATTTTAAAGCATATGTAACTATATAAAATTTATCAACCTTAGAGTACTCATGAAGTATTTAATGAATGCAAAGAGACTAAAAATCTAGCAGTGGTAGATTAATGATGCTTCACTATTTTAACATTGATATTTTAAAATTTTTATTAAAGAGGAATAAATTTTTATTGCTTAAAGATGGGAAATGAGCTAGGTATATGCCTTTAATATCAGTTCTCAGGAAGAAGGTAAATGGATATCCAGAGTTTGAGACCAGCCTGGTCTATTTGAAAATTCCAAGCTAGCAACAGCTACATAGCAAAACAAACAAACAAACAAACAAAAAACAAAAACGGATGAGGAGGAAGATAACAGGAAATTATAGTTAAGAAAAAATTTTAAGATCTTTGTATCTTTGTATTATGTATTATATAGTGGACTCCACTTATGAAATATCTTAGTTTTCCTGCCAATAAAATAAAGGCAATGATGAGGCCGGGTATTTATTCAAAGCCTATTTTCCTGAAATAGCAATAAATTCTAATAAGAAAAAAATGTGCCAAGGGTACTAAATTTCTGTAACCTTATGTTGCCCCAGTGTCAGTCTGTGCCTTCCATTTAAGGATGGTCACACGGGGTTTACCCTGGGATGCCAAGAACACAAGGTTGGTTGGGTTCCAGCTGTCAGCAAATGAGCAGGTAAAGATAAACTACCCACGAGCTGGCCAAGGCCACAAGACATCCGAGAGTTCAAACAAGCTTCCTATGTGAGTGCCTCCTTGGTTGTGAGTTACTCAAACAAGTAGGCATTAGGCAATATACCAGGTAAAAATATATTCTGTGGCAGGCACTGTCCAGTTTCCCTTCTTCCCATTATGGGAAACGTCTTGCTGCTCTGGTGGGAGAACTCTGGTTTAGCTGAGAAGCTCTTCAAAACACATATAAACTCTCCAAACAACACTTCTAAAAGTGAAATTTATACTTGAAATATTTTTCTGACTCAGATATCTTACTGACTCACAAATTGTTAAACCCAACCTTCAGTAAACAGACAAAATCACTGTCACATCAAAGATGATTTAAAACTGGAAAAAATTTGAGGGAATTTATATAACTTTTATGCAAAATATTTAAAATTATGCATGACTTTTTGTAAACATCTGAAAATGAAAAATAAGTGCACTAAAACAATTTAATCACTTGGCCAGACAACAGAAACTATTAATGAATTGTTTTTCTTCAAGACTAACCTGAGTTTACATATAGTAGAATGATGACAAAAATTAGATAACAAGTGTTGACAAGAATGTGAAAAAACTGGAACCCTTATATACCTTCATGGGAATATAAATGATGCAGCCATTTTGGAAAACAGTCTGTCTTTGAGAAGTTAAAGAGAGTCGCTGTTTAAATTGGCAATTTGCTCCTTGGAATATACCCAAGAAATGGAAACCTTGGTAGACATGAAACAGCAAGTACGACTGTTCATAGCACTCAAGTAGAACAACTCCAGTGGTCACTGCCAAGTTTCCCTTCTGCTGCTATGATAATACACCCCAATAACAGGCAGCTTAGGGGGAAGGGGTTTATTTTAGTTTATAATTACAGTCTACCATTGTAAAGTCAAGGCATGAATGATTGACACATCCACTGTCAAAAGCAGAGTGCAATGGAAGCATGGTTTTGCTTGCTTGTTTCAATTTCTCCACTTTTAAAACAGTTCAGGAACCCCTGCTAGGGAATGGCACTACACACAGTGGGCTTGGTCTTTCCACATCCATTAACTTAAGACAACAAACATGCCCACTGGCCCACCTAATGCAGATAATGCATTGTTGAGACTCTCTTTCCAAAGGATTATAGGTTTTACTAAATTGACAAGTAAAAATAACCTTCCCAGTTATAAACTCATGAACAGATAAACAAAATGTGGTATACAATGTGATACAATGTATACAATGTGATGAATACATGAACAAGTGTGGTATACAATGAACTATCTGGCCATAAAGGGAAAGAAGTGTTAATATCTGCTACTACATACTTTTACACAGAGAACATTATACTGTATCAAAGAAGCCAGTCATCAAAATTCATGTGTTATATAAATCTACTTACAGGAAATGTTCAGAATAACACAAAAAGTTAGTAGTTGTTAGGGGTAGAGAGGATGGTAAACTTACAAAGTAACAGCTAAAAGACTTGAGGTTTCTTCTTAAAGTCAAATCAAAAAGTTCTAAAATGGATTGTGACTATAGTCACACAGCTCTAAATACACTCAAAGCATTAATTAATACACTCAAATGCATACTTTAAATGGGTAAACTGAATGGCATATGCACTGTTATCTCAATTAAGCTGTCACTGAAAAGAAAGAAACTATGTAAATGCAACACATTCTCTGGGCAGAACTTGACCTGAAAAGCTTTTGACAATATGTTGCAAACACTATTTTTAAAGGAACCAATTACCATAGGCCTGGACTTGTTCTCCCCTTTGAGTAGGTAGATACAACTGGCAGCTCAGACTCTATATGGATCACAGAGTAAGGGGAGCAAGGGCTGCCTCTGTCATGAACTCGGCTGCCTGCTCTTTGATCACTTGCCCCTGGTGATGCGGCCTTACTAGGCCACAGAGGAAGAGGATCCAGGCAGTCCTGATGAGCCCTGACAAGCTATGGGCAGATGGCAAAGGAGAACTCCCCCTAAGGGAAGGAGATGGGGGAAAAGAGAGGGAGAGTGGGACTGGGGGGAGTTGAGGAAGGGGGCTTCAATTGGGAAATATAATGAATAAATTGTGAAAAAAAGTTTAAAAAAAAAAAGAAACAGGAAAACAAAGGTAGGGATAACCAACATTTTGATATTTCAAGAACATTTTTTCTTGGGGATTAGGTAAGGTGGGGCTAATTCCATTCCTGAAAAATAAACTTCTATAAATCCTCCAAAGGTGAGCAAGCACTGAAAAATACTCAAGTTGACAGCTATAACAGTTCCTTTCTGGCAGTACAGCCTTAGCTGGAAGGAATACACCATCAGGCTTGCTCACTGGTACTTATCAAAGGTGGCTCTACACTGTATGCTAAATAACAAGACGGAAGGCACAAAAGCTCACTACTGATAATCTGTACATGTGAATATAAACATGTGTGTGAGGCCAGGGCAAGAGGAGCGATGACAGAGCCCAGATTTCTCTCCTGCTGGAAAGTTGGCAGGAGCAACTTCCTACCAGAACTGAAAAAAAAAAAAATCTGTAACGGCAGATGCTTCTTAAACCATGAAGATACATTTTAACAGGAAAGAAAAATAGTCTGTCCTCTGAGGCCTTACTTCTCCTTCCATGGAAGCACCTACAACCTACTAAGGACAGAAAAGTTCAGAGCTTCTTCAGTAGGACTTGTTAGAGGAGAATGAGAATAGAAGGATCTCTCAGCTGTTGTAACTGCAGAGCAGGACATTCCAGGGCCAGGAGAGGGACACACTGACAAGACCAGCCACAAGATTGGCAGGGCCCAGTACAGACATATGTGGCTTTGTGAATTAACTCAGAAGGTTGACAGCAGAGCATTATACTGTACCCAGGCTCTTCTGAGTACAGGGATCTCTAGACCTGCACAGATGCTATGCCTGTAAGACCAGCCTGACTTCTGAAAAACAGGAGTTGAGGTGGGGAATTTTCAAAGACACAGGAAACAATAAAGCCCAAAATACAAAACTACCCAGAGACTATCATGTTAGTGTTTGAAAGTATATCCCAGAGATTTTTCTCCATGCTAATACATGTAGACATTTATAAATATAATTGTTTCCATTATATAATTGCTCAGTGTATATCTCCTCTGTGGCTTTTTTTTTTTTAATTTATGACTTGGAAAAGCTTTCTAAAATGTTAATGAGTACAGATCATTTCAGTCTTACATAGATGATAGACCATAAATAGAACTATGCTTCAATTAGCCAGACTCTGAAGTGTTGAGTTAATGAAGGATCCTGACTTGTTCATTATCACAATGATGTGCTCTGAATTATAACAGCCTGAACAAGAGAAGACTGAATAAATCAATCAATATAAATCACTTTAAAAGGTGCTGGCATATAATAAGCTCTATATATATGCTAGTGACTTCTAAAGACTAATTTACATTCATAGCATCAGACCAAGAAGGCTTTTGTTGTTTTGGATTGTTTGTGAAATAAGGTCTTGCTTTATACCTCAGGCTAGCCTAGAACTCTTGCTAGTGTTGCCCCTGGACTGAACCGGGCAAAAGGGATTCTTTAGTTCTCTTATTGAATTCATCATGCTCCTAAAACTATCAATGACTTCCACATGAAAGTTATCAACCCTTTGTGACAGAATATCAAGTACTTTTTGTTCTGAAAAAGGGGGAATAAACCTGAGATTTACCTCCAGTTCCTAGGACCTTCAGCAGCTCAAAATTTTCAATTCCCACCTTCTCTGCATGTCCTGTTAAGTTGGCTAAAGAGAAAGAAAAAAGAAAGAAAAAAAATTAAAGGAGTCAGCAACCAGATGGCTCTGTGGGGGCTTTTAGAGGTATCAGCAAAGTTTTGTTTCTTAACCTGGAGTTTTTCTATATAATTGCTACTAAATTGTATAGTTGTATTTTACATATTAATTATAATAAAACTTTTTGCCAGGTGATGGTGGCACAAGAATTTAATTTCTGCACTTGCAGGGCAAAGGCAGAGGCAGGGGAATCTCTGAGTTTGAGGCCAGACAGGGCTACACACAAAAACCCTGTCTCATAAAACAAAACAAAGAAAAACTTTTAAAAATTTAGTGACTAGATATTATTTATATCGAAATCTAAAAAAAGTTATAATACACAGGTAGATTTGTAGTGAAAACTAGACAGATTTAGAATTATTTGTTTACATAACAAACACTAAGTGTGTAACTACCATGCTAGATTCTGGGCTACGTTCTAGTTCCATTTGTGCCACTAAGAATGTGGGCATGAGCGAGTGAACACAAGTTATGTACACAAACTATCTCTGTCCCCATCTGAAGTGAAAGCACTGGCTAGAAAACTTTAGAACTGTCAGCTCTAAAAATCCTAGGGGCGTGCTTAAATACACACTCTTCAAACATATTCTGTCGTAAATAAGACAAAGAAGGATATGTTACAAGTGAGCATTTCCCACAGTACTTCCATTGGGTTCTGGTTCTACCTGGTAACATATGAAAAGGGTGTTTGGAGAAAGTGGAGAATAGGGTACTCTGGTGGAAAAAAACTGAAAATGGTTGGCTATAGCGAAGTTAAATGGCTTCTTTCACACACGACGTCACAGATCCTGTACTATAAAAGTTTCAAGGCTCAGATACTACATTCTTAAAATGTATTTAACAAAGTACCTTTATAATAATGCCTGTATTATGTGAACTCGCTTTCTGTAGAAGTTGTGAAGAAATGCTTGCTCCAACCTAAACGCTTGCTACCACCTAAATGCTGTGTACCCTTCAATAAATCACTTCTCTGTTTCAATTCCCAGGAATGTAACATAGGAACAAGTCACATCAACCAAAAACTTTACCCCTACGGCATACTGGTGTCTACAATCTACTGTGAAAGCATTAAAAGATACAATGGACTGATGGCTGAATATAAATAGCTGTCATAAACTAAATATAACAAATACAGAACCTAGACAGTGCACAAAAGGGTGTTCAACATACAATCTTTCAAAATGTCTGTAAAATAACAGAGACTAGAACAAGATCTAGCTCATAAAGTTCTAATGAAGATTGAATGAGTCAATTTTTATACAGGAAATTTATACAGTACTTGCTGTGTACAAGTTAAGTTTTTTTTTTTCAGGTACCAAGTTCTGAGTTTTATTAAATTTAAAACTTTGCATTTTTATTAAATTAATTAAAATAAAACTTTAAAGTTTCATTAAAATTGAAAAAAATAAAATTTTATTAATTACATTTTATTCACTTTGTATCCCCCCATAAGCCCTTCCCTCCTCCTCCCTCTCCCCCTTCTTCACACATGCCCCTCCCCAAGATAAGGGAGGTCCTCCTCTCCTTCCTTCTGATCTTAGTCTATTAGATCTCATCAGGAGTGGCTGCATTGTCATATTCTGTGGCCTAGTAAGGCTACTCCCCCCTCAGGGGGAGGTGATCAAAGAGCAGGCCAAACACATTATGTCAGAGGCAGTCCCTCTTCCCATTACTATGGAACCCACTTGGACACTAAACTGCCATGGGCTACATCTGTGCGGGGGTTGTAGGTTATCTCCATGCATGGTACTTGGTTGGAGTATGAGTCTCTGTTAAGACCCCTGTGTTCAAGTTTTCTGGTTCTGTTGCCCTCCTTGTGGGGTTCCTGTCCTCTCCAGCTCTTACTATTTCTCACTTCTTTCATAAGATTGCATGCACTCTGCCCAACAGTTGGCCATAAGTCTCAGCATCTGCTTTGATAGTCTGTAGGGCAGAGCCTTTCCGAGGCCCTCTGTGGCAGGTTTCTAGGTTGTTTCCTGTTTTCTTCTTCTGATGTCCATCCTCTTTGCCTTTCGGGATGGGGATTGAGCATTGTAGTCAGGGCCCTCTCTTTTGATTAGTTTCTTTAGATGTACAGATTTTAGTAGGTTTATCCTATGTAATATGTCTGTATGAGTGAGTATATACCGTGTGTGTCTTTTTGCTTCTGGGATAGCTCACTCAGGATGATCCTTTCCAGGTCCCACCATTTACCTACAAATTTCATGATTTCCTTATTTTTCATTGCAGAGTAATACTCCATTGTATAGATGTACCAAAACTTCTGCATCCATTGTTCAGTTGAGGGGCATCTGGGCTGTTTCCAGCTTCTGGCTATTACAAATAAAGCTGCTACAAACATGGTTGAGCAAATGTCCTTACTGTGTACGTGAGCCTCTTTTGGATATATGCCTAGGAGTGGTATGGCTGGATCTTGAGGAAGCGCTATTCCTACTTGTCTGAGAAAGCGTCAGATTGATTTCCAAAGTGGTTGTACAAGTTTACATTCCCACCAGCAGTGGAGGAGGGTTCCCCTTTCTCCACAACCTCTCCAGCATGTGTTGTCACTTGAGTTTTTTATCTTGGCCATTCTGATGGGTGTAAGGTGAAATCTCAGGGTTGTTTTGATTTGCATTTCCCTAATGGCTAATGAGGTTGAGCATTTCTTTAAGTGCTTCTCTGCCATTCGATATTCCTCTACAGAGAGTTCTCTGTTTAGCTCTGTTCCCCATTTTTTAAGTGGATTACTTGGTTTGCTGCTTTTCAGCTTCTTTAGTTCTTTATATGTACTGGATATTAGCCCTCTGTCAGATAAAGGGTTGTTGAAGATTCTTTCCCAATCTGTAGGCAGTCATTTTGTCTTGATGACAGTGTCCTTTGCTTTACAGAAGCTTTTCAGTTTCATGAGGTTCCCATTTATTGATTGTAGCACTTAGAGCCAGTGCTGTTGGTGTTCTGTTCAGGAAGTTGTCTCCTGTACCAATGAGTTCTAGGGTTTTCCCCACTTTTTCTTCTAACCGATTTAATGTGTCTGGTTTTATGTTGAAGTCTTTGATCCACTTGGACTTTAGTTTGGTACAGGGTGATAAGTATGGATCTATTTGCATTTTTCTACATGTAGACATACAGTTAGACCAGCACCATTTGTTGAAAATGCTATCTTTTTTCCATTGTATGGTTTGGGAACCTTTGCAAAGACCAGGTGTCCATAAGTGTGTGGGTTTATTTCTGGGTCTTCTGTTCGGTTCCATTGATCCACCATTCTGTTTCTATGCCAGTACCATGCAGTTTTTATAACTGTTGCTCTATAGTACAGCTTGAGATCAGGGATGGAGATACCTCCAGAAGATCTTTTATTGTAGAGGATTGTTTTAGCAATTCTGGGTTTCTTGTTATTCCATATGAAGTTGAGAATTTTTCTTTCCAGGTCTGTAAAGAATTGTGTTGGCAATTTGATGGGAATTGCATTAAATCTGTAGATTGCTTTTGGTAAGATGGCCATTTTTACTATGTTAATCCTGCCAAGACATGAGCATGGGAGATCTTTCCATCTTCTCATATCTTCTTCTAATTATTTCTTCAGAGACTTGAAGTTTTTTTCATACAAGTCTTTGACTTGCTTGGTTAGGGTTACACCAAGGTACTTTATGTCATTTGTGGCTATTGTGAAGGGTGTTGTTTCCCTAATTTCTTTCTCAGCCCATTTGTCTTTTGTATACAGGAGTGCTACTGATTTTTTTGAGTTAATTTTGTATCCGGCCACTTTGCTGAAGGTGTTTCTCAGCTGTAGGAGTTTCCCGGTAGAGTTTTTGGGGTCACTCAGGTATACTATCATATCATCTGCAAATAGTGATAATTTGACTTCTTCCTTTCCAATTTGTATCCCCTTGATCTCCTTCAACTGTCTTATTGCTCTAGCAAGGACTTCCAGCACTATGTTGAAGAGATATGGAGAGAGTGGACAGCCTTGTCTTGTCCCTGATTTCAGTGGGATTGCTTTAAGTTTCTCTCTGTTCAGTTTGATGTTGGCTATAGGCTTGTTGTATATCGTCTTTACTATGTTTAGATATGTGCCTTGTATCTCTGATCTCTCTCTTTAAACATGAATGGATGTTGGATTTTGTCAAATGCTTTTTCAGCATCTAGGGAGATTATAATGTGTTTTTTTTCCTTTCAGTCTGTTAATATGGTGGATCACATTGATGGATTTCCATATATTGAACCACCTCAGAGGTGAAATAAACATTGCCAACTCCATAACTGTCTTCTACATTTGTGAGAGAGTAACAAGACTGAATGAAGTGCAAATCACATTACCCAGAAGATATGAGCTTCAGGCCTGCAACTGAGGTAACAGAGGCAGAACCACCCACTGTTCATCTCCACATCACGAGGGTGATGGTACTTTAGAGGACAGCAGCCTCTGTTCCTTCTCCTATTCAGATCATGCCTCCAATGCACTCCCTTTCTAGTTCTCCCCAGTGAGAGAAAACCCATGTTTAAGTCCAAAATGCTGAAAGGAAACTCACAAATACATTTTTTGAATACATGAATGGGAACACAACACATTCTTAGTAGCAGGCAGAGTTACTATGTTCAAAAGATCGCTCCTACAGAGGTCTTTTTATTATTACATTTATTAGTTATTACTGATGTGTGTGTGTGTGTGTGTGTGTGTGTGTGTGTGTGTGTGTATGTGTGTGTGTGTGTGTTATGGCACATGTGTGGCAATTAGAGTACATCTTCTGGTAGTCAGGTCTTTCCTTCTACCATGTGGGTCACCATGACCAAACAGGTTGCCAGTCTCTGCAGCAAGCACCTTTACCTGTTGATCTATCCCACCTGTCCCTTTAAGGGTTTTTTTTTAAATCTTTTATTTTTTATTAATTACACTTTATTCATTTTGTATCCCCCCATAAGCCCCTCCCTCCTCCCCTGCCGATCCCACCCTCCCTCCCCTTTCTGCATGCATG